TGGAAGTCACACTACCTCGTTTACAGCGATATTTTTCCAACAGTCGACAGTAAACTGCAATGATCAACATCTATGCGAGCCATCGTTTACGTATAAACTAAGGAATGAATCTTCCATGATTGTGTAATCATAAGCTTCTTCTTCCTCCCCTAACGTCTCATACCGTTTCCTGTGATCGTAAAAGCTGGTGACGTTGAAGCTAATGATTCACTAGACGATTCTCAAAGTACAATAAACAGATGCTCGATCTGCGACTGGAACAAGGCGTGGACTATTTTGACTACAATAAATTTGCATTGGAATTTTTGCTGCTAGTGCATGGAAAATATAAATCAGTATCGAAACTGCTACATAACCGTTACGTATAATGATCCAAGGATCAATGTGAGATGCAAAAGAATGAAACACGTGAACGTCAAATAAGAGCACGCACACCAACGCAATTTGCATACATAATGCGTATATAGGAAATAAAAATCGATCTCGTTCTTTCACTAATAAATCGAGTATCCTATTATTATCTAACGCTTTAATTAACAAGATCCGTGGCACAAAATTTTTATGAGAAATTTTTAAATGTAATCCGTATTATATCAGCCTACACAGGGTGTCTTTCGCAACAGGGCTCTGCTGTAATCCTGCAACGAACGTGGAAAGAAGGTAAACGATGAAAGTGAAAATGTTTAAGTGATTAGAGCAATCTGTTTTAAATCTTTGCGAGGAATAATGAAACACAACGAAGAATTTTATTTTTTTAAAAATAGAAGCGGATTTTATAGTCTACTAAACGTCCCTACTTTTGGAGCAGTCACTAAATTATGCTCCATGCTAATTAATACAGCCTAACGAAGTTCTTCTGTACCCCCTATTGTTTTATGCTTATGACTGAGGTTAGGCTTGAAAAACGATTTGAATATTAGAATAAGAATATTTTTATAAATATGCAAACAGCTGAATCTTCGAATTTTTCTTCGATCTGCATCTTTTTACGTATTCTATAATCGACGTTTATGCAAATCGTATGCCAGAGTAGCTCTTATAACGAACAATCCTATTGTTTTTGTGGATCGTCGACTGAGATCGCGATATCATACAAAAATACTCGATCTTCGATGTCAGGGACAAACCCAAACTCGAATCAAGATTTTTCGGCTCTCGTTAATCGCTGGTTTCACATTTATTATTTTCAATTAATTATTTCACATACATCCGCTGTAAAATATACGAATGGATGAGAAATTAAAAATTGCAATGCCGAAGCCGAGATTTTTATGCATTTGGAGAATTATTTCGAATGAAAAACGACACCTGCGTTTAAATTTGAAGCTTGAAGCCGAAAGAGTGGACAGGGGTTAGGCTAGGTATCGAATAAATGGTGGCCAAGTGTACAGAACTCGCGTTGACGAGCTGGTGAGATGGAATCGGATCGAAACGTCCCTGTCAGGGTTCAAAGTACAGGAATAACACGCTTCCGATCAAACGCCATCGAGATTTACGTCAAAAAGTTGTAGCCAGTCCTAGCAGCGAGACAAAAAGTGAATGGCCGGCAATCTTTTTACGAAACTCGTCAAGAATCGATGTCCAAAGATCTCACGGGTCGTAACGTAGTTGCGGAAGCTGAGCCGAAGCCTTGATACGCGAATAATATCCAGCCACGCGTGAAATTCCTCTAGCAGGATGATCAGAAACAGGAGAAAATGACGAAAGCTTCTCGAAAAAGCAGCTATGACGAAACAGGACGTACTAAAACGAAGACTCTGAGACCAGGAAGGAAGATTTGACCGACGAAGGTCCTTGTTCTGACCTTGCACAACCTCTAGAAATGAATAAGACGAGCCACATGTATAACCTTTAACGGACATTTACCAGAGACCCAAGCAATATAACAACTTTCGTTTATTATCCGAGAGGCATTTAATGGACCTCAAAATGGCACCTTTGTAAACGATCGAAAGGTCTCACTGGTTCCTTTCATAGCCTATCTATTATGTACCATAAGACGTTACTGCCTTTGCAATACGTTCCTCCGGGTGGCCTAACAGAACACTCTATGGTATAAAGTTCCCTAGTCGATCGCTAATAGGAGAACCAAAACTCGGAACAGGTTCTCAGTGGGCAAAGTTCAAATTCATCCAGACGTTAATGCCGCTTCTTCTACGTCCGTGACATAGTTAACGCGATTGCGTAACACAAACAGCTCCCTAATCTCTTCCCGCGCGACCAGTTCCTTGGAATTCCGACTCACGATTTAATTACACACCAGGTGTCCATTTCAGCGAATGATGACCGCTGAAAACAAGCGTCGTGACGGCTTATTGGCCCTCTGCTCCGCTACTTTTCCATTCCACCTTGTTCCGGTCACGTACCATCGGTCACGTGGCACGCCGATCGAGATCGATCGAGATCGACTCAGCAACCCGAACAATAACGTTCACGGGAACGGTGAAAGTCGCCTTTTGACACACCTAATTATCCTTTTCGAGTATAACCACCGATAACTTATCATCGGGCCTAGCAACACGGCAATGTTTGAAGTGTTGCTCGAGTACTAGCTCAATCTGAAGTCCTTACACTGGACCTTTTACGATCAATGTAATTGTTTCAATAGGATAATTAGGAATGTACGTAATTATGAGAAGATTAACTCCTTACCCCTAGTCTCTCGATAAAAGTCCCGCAGAGTTAGGCCAGCTATGCGATAGATTGGGGATGCTGTACAAACTCAAGTGATCTAGACCTCGTCAAGGTTTCAAAATGATTCCAAATCGGTGGGATCGATTGAAACACTATTTACCGACTTCAGCAAAGTATAACGAAGCGAATCCAAGTCGTCAGTTAAGTTTATGCTTGGTCTATGTGTCTAAAGACATCGGTGTCTTTATAAGTTTGGGTGTGCCATGATTGGTTGGTGTAAAGCGTGAGTGGTGGGTACGTGTTCTCCCATTGGTTGCGTGTGTTTGTTAAGTGTGTATACTGGTTTTAGGTGATTTTTGGTAGATGATGTTCACACAGGAGTGACCATCCATGATATTTAATGACCCTTTGCTGAAAACTGACGCACCCGATGTCTACGTACACGTCGCGAAGCACCGGTAATAAATTAATCAATTTCCAACTCGACTCGGGAAGTTCTATTAACATGATCTATCAACAGCTTGTCACATAATTCGTTCGTTGTTCTATCGATTTAGCATTTCCTGGCTCCCTTTCTATTGTGCAAGGTTACATCCATAAATCAGTTTGACACTAAACCTATCACGACCGGGTTGAAGATCGTACCCCATCTGTAGATGGGAGAAGTATTGAAGTATTGAAAAATTCCTAGTACTAAATTCCTAGCGTGTTAAAAGAAAAATGGAAAAGTCAAGTGATCAGTTTTGAGTACAGGATGTTTCATCAAAAAATTTTATCGGAGCAAACTATAGTGTGGACGAAGTCATTGGTGCAAGTTTGGTACGATATCGTAATATTCTGTCGCACTCAGGACTGTCAAGATTAACTCGAGCGTGAAAGTTGTATTTGATATTGATTCATTCTTATGGGTCGAATTACGATTGACGAATCCTAGTTTTGTTACACTCTGGTAATAAATTGATCTCGCAATTAGGATCGTCCGACGATGATCGGTAATATTTCTGAGATCTGACAGAAACTGACCTTAATCCGTTGCACCAGAACCGAGAGAAAGCTATACATCGCATAACTTAATGTAACTTGTATTCCCTATCACTGTAGTGACTGATTCTTACATCCGGAAGGCCCATCGGAGGATTCGTCGTTTTCCACGAATAAGAAGAAGACACGAGGATGTGAACGTAATATGACGGGTAGGTGTCACGTAAAGAAAATTATAAAATCATCCACGCGCTAAAATTAATCGAAGAAGTGTCGAAGGATATCTGATGGATGATCTAGGATGAATAGATAGACGCGAGCATGAAATAATATTTGAATAATCTTCGACCACAATCGGCTAGACTGTAATTAATACGTGTTACATACAATATTTTCTTCAACTTAGAATTTTAATACAATCGTTTAAGCTTGACAGCAACACCTACGTCATGTCTCGAACGACACCTGTCCCAAAAAATCGCTGTTTGTTCGTTGAATAAAAATAATCACAGTGATATCTTCCTATTTACTCCAAGCTTTTAGAAAAACCCGCATAATTAGATTAAAACTAAGTAGTTGCACACTGAACTAAACACGTGATTAATTAATTTCCTTATTTTTAACCTCTTATCACCTTCAATTTTTCTTTAATTTTCGAGCAAAACAAAGAAAAACAAACACATCATGGTAAGAAACATGAAGAAGAATAGGTGGGGTATACAAATAAACACAGAACTCGATGGTTCAAAGGTGCAAGATCAAGGTTTCGGACCTACCCACGTGCGATCGATCGATAGAAACGAGCATGGAATAGGCGAACATTAATTCCAAAAATGTTATGAAGTATACCAGAGGCCATAGAAAATAGGATGTGGTGTATAAATCAAAATAAACACGAAACTAAAGGGTTGGAAGATGGACGGTGGAGGTTTAGGACCCACCCACGACGCAGGTGCGATCTATAGATCAATCGAAAGGAGCATCGAATCGGTGAACATCAATACCAAAATCTAGTAAAGTATATTAGAAGGCGGAGAAAATAGGGCGTGATATATAAATAAAAGTAAACACAGACCTAAAGAGTTGAAAGATGGACGATCGAGGTTTGGGACCGATCTACGACGCAGACGCGATCGATCGGCCGGGGCACGCGTGGAATCGGAGAACGACCTTGGCCGGAGGGTGTAGCTGCTCGAGACGCTGCTTCCCTTTCTCCATCTTGGACCGTGGTAGGAAAAGAGACCTTGACTCCCCGTGGCTCGGGATTTTCAGGCGATCACCTAAGGCCCACACGCCCCCACCCCAGCCGCCGCGCGGCCGAACCCCACTTGCTTAACCAATACTTAAACCGCTAGTTCGCTCCGGCGCGGACTATTCACGCAGCATCGACCGTTGGACCCACATTTCTGTATATGTGTTTCCGCGCGGACGCGTGCACACACTCGCATCGCACACACACACTGGCACGCGTGTGCCGTTGCGAGAACGCGTGCTCCCGTGCAAGCACACGCAAGCACACGTTCCAACACACACGCGCGAACTGTGTCCGAGTGTTACTTCCCGGCCGTGGAGGATCGCGTGTGACTGACGTGTGACATCCCAAGGGGAGGAAGCTTGTGAACAGCGATTGCAGAGCACAGCTGCTAGTGATCGAGTGTCCAATTCGAGCTTCATCTTTGACCCAACCGATCAACAGAATCGTATCGGATCGCAACTGATATATAACCCTTTTGGAAGACCGAACTTGACAGACACGTTGGATCGTAGCAGGTCGCAGCAGACAATCCACCCCTTGGTACATATATACATTGGATGAAACGACGGAAGCTAAGATTGTAGCAGATCTCACCTGACAAACGACACTTTCGGACAGACACCTGGTCCAATTAGATCCATCAACGTCCCGGTGCAGATCGGTGCATCGATCCAATCGTTCGAGAGATTCGAGACTGGACACTGGACGAGTTGGAAATCGGTGGATATCCAGGTCGACACGCAGAGGTGGAGCCTGTTACTCGTTAGCGCGGACGTCGTTTTCGTCGGTGAACAGGTAAGCCGGTTCCCATCTTGCTCTGACCCGCGTTGTCTCGCGAAGAGTGAACGAGCATCCCAGTGCCAAAAAGAGTTTGCATCGTGCAATGAGAGAGTAACTCGGATATCAGACTCGACCTACATCCATAGTACCCTCCGAAGGCCGAGCAAAAAGCGGCCTTGGTCCGATACGTGCATCGGCGACCGATTCCGATCCACCATTCACTCGCAAAGTCGCAGGAAACAACCCGATCTCGAAGACGGCTCGCGTTATACTTTCCAATTGGCCTTGGACGTTAATTGGTCGGCTGTTGACGTGAGAAGGGCAATAAAAGAAACTGGAACTCGAAAACGATGATGAATTCTTGAGCGGGAATGTCGCGAAAGCGAGTCGATCGCAAGCGCGATCGCGCAAGCACCTGTGCTCATCGCGCGCGACTGCCTCAACGGTGGCTAACGAAACGAGCGCAACCGGTTTAGGGAAATTTATGTCTGCATCGATCGAAAATCCTTGCAAAACGCTTTCGAGCATGCTCGGAACGAGATCGAATCGGTTTTGTTCCGTAAAAGCAACGAGTAGTTTAACTGTACGTGTCGAATCGACGGCCCACGGTTTGGACAGCGCAGATCGGAGACTCGTTCCGCTCGAAGAGGTCGAAAATGGAACACACGTTCCCCGAACGTTGCCGGTTATCCGAGACGAACTTACTGGCGATGAGGTGCGAGTGTCGAAATGAGAGACCAGAGAAGTATGTTAAATTAGAAAGATAAGCTATCGGCGTACTATGATCTACCTTTCTACTTTCGCAAGTAGAATACGCCCCTAGATGATCAGACGCGACGCGAAATCACCCCGCGGAGCGCGTTCCCGATCGAATTTCGAAGCCTCGGCTAATTACCCGTCCTAAACGAGCGACTTTCTCCATTCCACAACGTTTCACGATAAAAATCCTGCCGATGAGTACCCTCGAAAGTGTAAACTGGATTCTGCGACTCTCTCGGAACGACCTGAATGATGCGTCTGAGCCATTTGCACGGTAAACAATGAGTTCGGGAGGTACTCGATCGCGATCTTTCATTTGCGATCTGCACAATTGCTCAACGAAACCTGCTACGCCATAACTGAACCGACCTCGAACCAACCGGGAGGTACTCGATTTGCGATCTGCACAATTGCTCAACGAAACCTGCTACGCCATAACTGAACCGACCTCGAACCACAGAAGTGTTTCGCGAGTGCCGTTGAACCTTAAGCCTGAGAGACATGTCTTCTCGATTTTCAATGCTGAGCCTGGCCAAGGGTACACACCTGACGGGTGTCGAAGAAGACGACTAACCTGAGGAGAAACGTGAAGACAAGCGAGAAAATATATTGGAAAGAACGACGAAAATGTAGCAAAGATACGAATCACGTGTGACCGGTTGGTGGTAGCCGCAAACAGGTCCATAAATCTCGTTACAATATGCAACCGGCTGAGAAAAATCGGGCGTGCAGGCGGCGCTGAGATACATTTGCGTGGAAAAGGAAAAAGAACATGGCAGTGCGAGTACAGCGACGTGTTGCAAGTGGAAGAGTAGTGGAGGCAGCCTAGGAGGCTCGTCGTGGATGTCTGGCTTTCTCGCGATCCACAATTGATTTCATCGGCTTCGAAAATTGTAGGCGAATGAGTTTACAGTGGAAAAAAGGCACGCGCTTCCCGTGGCACGCAAAAGTGTGTCACGTCGCATCCTTGCTCTAGACGATTCGAAAGGAAT